GGTATCCTAACAAAAGAAAATGGGTAGAAGGAGTTATAAATGAAGTTTTAGGAGAAAGGCATTATATTTGTGAAATTGTTAATAAAAATATATTTTGAAAGCGTCATGTGGATCAGATATTGAAAGGAAAATTCAATGAGTTAAGAGGTTTAAACCAAACTGTTGAAAATAAAATAAGCTTAAATGATTTTGATAGATCTGTGCGATTCAAAAGACTGATTAAAGCTCCCGATCGTTTGGATCTTTAGAGGGGAGGTATTGTAGTATCGTGAGAAACATATCGTGTAGACCTGGCTTAACACATATGATAGCTGTTGGTCACACTAGCTCCGGTACAGGGGGGACGCTATGTTTTTTCGTGAATGATGGATAACCTTAGTTTTTTTAGATAGTAGTCAACGTTTGTTTAACTTGTTTTTATACTTATAGTAATAAAGCGCCTAACGGCAACTAAAGGCCGTCCTTTTATTTATTTATTGCTCCTCGGTCACAACACTTATTAAATTAAATGGGATTTGTATGCATTCTGTAATGAAATTACTAGACGAAAATAAGTTAAGACGTTTAACAATTATAATAATCGTACACATAAGGATATCTCCAAACTGTTTATTAAAAATTATTTATGGATACATACAAAAAACTGACATTTCGAACGTGTAACTCTCCAATGACGTCACGACTTATGCGCAATATCTTATCTTCTTAGTCATAGTATCACGGTACTAGGTATTTAGATATATTGTCATACATTTGGGATTTTCTGCTGATATGATCATATTGTATTTCTTGGCTGTTGTATTAAAGACGTTTGTTAATCTTTGGAGCTCGCCTTCTGTCTCGGCAATTAGTGCGGCGTCATCTGCATAACATAATATTTCAATTTATTTTTTTCCCATTTTGTAACCATGACCCTATATTACTATATTACCTGTATTACTTACTGCTTATATTATTTCGTCTATTATCATATTAAAAAGAAGTGGGCTCAACGAGTCGCCCTATCTGACTCCGTTTTGTACTCTATACACTATGCTAGTTTTCCATTTATCTTTGCCTGTATTCGATTATATAATACCTATCCAAAAAAATAAACAAAAGGAAGTTTTCTGCGTGGATATTAGAATCTACATATTCGTCAGCAGTGGACACAACGAAAAACTATTTGGGATAGGGTTTTTTCTTAAAAAGAAAATTACAGTACTAGTGGAGAATTTCAAGCGAATAAGTATCAGATTGTATTAGTTAAGGATGAGAATAATTGTTTGTGTGTAAGGAAGCTTACAGACAAACAACCGGCGGAAAGACCAAACACAGAGACAACAATCTAAATAACAGAAGATTAATTGAATTTGCTTTTGAAAATAATATGCATATTATTATGCGTATTTTTTACAGTTACAAAAAGTTTGCAAAAAAGTATATAGTCTTTAAATGACAGTTTATAAAGCATCTAAACTGCATTAAACATTAGTTAGAATGATGACAATAAAACCACTATAATAATATAATAATAAATCACTTTATATGAATAATTTTCCAAAATATAAAACTTAACGCTCGATTTTTGTATGGACTTGTAGTCTAATTGAATCGATGTAAATATTCTAAGTCGTTTTAGTTTCATTTTTGACATATTGATGGAAAATTGTTTTATAAACAAAAGCGCATCTTTTGGTACAAAAACATTCTTCACAATGTTTTTGTACAAGTATACAAAGTACAAGTCTCTACTCTTCATGTATGTTAAATAGAAAACTGAAATGTATCATTGCACACTAAAAGATTCTATGTCAGTAACTCTGACTATGAATCTCTAATAAAATTAAATAACCACATGTTTGATGATTGGTTTTGTGAGGTTTTGTAGCATCATTTTAGTGTATTCTTTTAAAAATTGCGATGGATAACGAAACAAGCAGTACCAGCGACGGAAGAGAAGTAAAAAATGAAGCTAAGTGGAAACGAAATATCGTGAGGAATGCCAGAGTCAAAGGCGAAGAGTACATTAATTACAAAGGTAGAGTTGTAGGACCAGGTATCAGTTGGCCCTGATTGCAGGTAAGATACGTTTTGCAGTCTATATAATAAACTAAGGTTTATTTCATCAGGATTTTTTTGATTTCAGATGTAAGCAGAAGTGTAGCAGAAGTCCGCTTGCAGAATCAAGGTGAAGAGATATTCGTTCATTTGAGAACATTGGAAACTAAGAACGAGCAGGATATTTTTTTACAATCATTGATTACCTGTAACAATGTACAAACCCATAAACCCAGAAAAGAAGGTGCTTCTGCGAGGGCTGCTCTTAATGTTTATTTTACATACGAGGTAATTGTGGGCGAAACCAGAGAAAAAGTATGTATAGAAGTAATTTAAGTCGCTCTATGGAATTAAAATAAGTCGTATTAGAAAGCTTCGTTGATTATTATTAATAGGTAAAACTCCGAAGGATCTTCGTAGGAAAAAATTAGGCACTAATGCAATCAGTGCTCATACCAGGCTATTCATAAGACAACTTCAATTTACGATTTGGTCGCCCTCAGATTGATTAGTGCTGTATTTGTGAAGAACTAAATTTCAAATTTTAAGTCCTCATCTTAGTGATGCAGCAAAAAGAAATGTTTCTGCTGAATTGATGATTTACAAGCGTAGATCAAAAAAAATTCTGCAATAAATTAAAAAGAGAAACTAACCAAGAAACAAAAGCCAAAGAATCACAGGTGCTAGCAATAGCTTTCGATTATATGCAAAATATACCGCTGTCTATGATTCCAGTAGAGGAAACCTTTTATTTGAGACAACTAACGGTGAATGTGTTGAGCATTTGTGGCGTTAAAAGCAATAAGTCAAATATTTATCTATATCACGAAGGGACCGCTAGAAAAAATCCGGATGAGGTTTGTTCCTTTGTATATAATTATTTAAACTCTGCTCCTTCTCAGTTTACGGAAGTCCACATTTACTCGGATAATTGCGGAGGTCAAAATAAGGACCATACATTTAACAGATTATTTTTAGCCTTTACCGACAGTGGTCTATTCAATCGAACTGAGCAATTCAAATTGTTTCATTAGAGGACACAACTACCTTCCTTGTGACAGGGATTTTTTAATAATCAAAAGAAAACTAAAAAGACATGGTAGGGTATACACCTTACACGAGATAACCGAACTTACTATTACTTCGAGTAATACGATAGATACGTTTACAGTCAAAGAAGTTAGCACAGAAGATATACTAGGTTTTTAACATTGGTGACCAACCTACTATAAAAAAACTTGCATTTCTGAGGAAACAAGAAGAAAACTTATTCCTGTTAAGGATAAGATATCTTTTGGCATAAGTTCTTTTATGCACTTTACCTATGAAACAGCTAAAAGTGTGATTGCTTGTAGGTCTTTTATTAATGGGTTCATGGAACAAACATATAAACTTTCTTAAGTTAACAATCAATCAATTGAATTTCCCACAATACTTTGTTATCCATACGGTAAAGTACCGCTTAAAAAAGTAAAGGTTTAAGATATTGGTAAGTTGTTACCTTATATACCTGATAGTGTAAGACAGTTTTATAATGAAATAATGGAATGGCCAAAAAATGATAGTCGTAATACTGGGGAAGGTGAACATGACATCCATTAGGCGGGAACACGACATTTTGAAGCAATAAAAAATGTTTGTATTTAAAACTTTAACTTAAAAATTGTATTTTTTAGGTTAATTATACATTTTTTTTTAACAAAATGAAGGTATTTTTGTGCCATCTTAGGAATATAAAATCAGGAAAAGGATCAGAATGCTATAATCTTTTCCGATTCACTTTCCGTTCTTAAAATTTTAAAATCAAACTCAAACACAACTAATGATATTATTTTTAGCATCCAACCAATACTTGAACAATTACAAGATCAGAATAAATATATAAAATTCTTCTGGGTCAAAGCACACGCAGGAATAACAAACAATGAAATTGCTGATCAAATTGCCAAAGAAAGCATAGTAATGGGGGAACAAATAAATTACGAATTAATTACAGGCGAACAAATAATCATAGCAAAACAGAGAATGATGTAGAAATGGTCCTATTTATGGCAAGAGTACAGCTTCACGAATCCAACACGTTACACCAGACTTGAAACCAAATTAAGGAGAAAACCTTGGTACAATGAGTACAATTACAGTAAAAAAAGTATAACTACTATTAGCAGAATGAAGTTTGGTCACGCATGTTATCCAGCACATTTATTTAAAATAAAAATACTTGAGAGTTATCTTTGCGAAGCCTGTAATAAAATCGGTGATCTCGACCACATCTTTTTTGATTGTTTAAAATATATAGCTCAATTTAATGAGCTTTTCAGTAAACTTTTAAAATCAAACATTGAAAGCCTATTTAATATACTGCATCTTCTTGCTTTAGAAAAAAAAGAAATGTACGATTGTTTGCTGTCTTTCGTCAGAACAACGAATATACAAATATAACCACCTTTGTTAATTCCTTATGTCTTTCCTTAATGTATGCATACCTATCTATCCGAGGCCTACCTTTTATCGTTTATAAAAATGCCCTGATCGGCCCCTGGGCGAGAAGAGTGTAATCCCTGTGTAATCCCTGTATCTGTTTTTAAAAATTTGTTTCTGGCTGTGTGGGTATTTACCCTAAGGCCAATAATAAAAAAAAGAATGTAAACAAAAAAGTTCTAAGTCGATCACATTTAAACATATATAACATATATGTACACCTATTATTTTGCACTGAGAAATATGAAACATTACATCTGAAAGTGTCAAAAACATTTTCAAATTTTTTGGTATTAATTTAGAAGACTAATACAGTTTTTTTCAGTTTCCTGAAAAAATGTTTTTCATGACTTAGAAGGTTTTTGTTGACACCGATTCAATTAATATTATGGACGTATCAACGATAAACTTAAACTGCCAAAATAGTATAAAAATATATACAATTTTAGAATTATTTCAAGAACAATAAATTATCTCACCTGTATAATTTTCATATATTAAAAGAGTTTTGAACGAATAGTCTGGATAGATTAAAGCAATTATTAAATGCGCTTACTGTTTTAAACTAACAAGTACACCATCATAACTGTTACCACCAAGTACAATTGCAATTACTTTATTGATACATTCCACCTAACACTTCGGGACATTTATTTGTCAAGTACACATTCATAAAAGATAATTTACGAGTATTTAATTATTTATTTAGTTGTACTAATAAAATAAATATCGCCAATAACCTTACTGATATGACCAACATAACGAGTATATACAAAACCTAAAAAGCATGAACTAGCCTTTAAACTTTTACATGCAGGTTCAGGTCCAGTTCAATCTTCACTGATTTGCTTGGGTTAGATTGTGAACTATGAGTATATCATATTTTGACACACTGTTTCCCTGGAATCTATCTCAGTTCTGTTGTTTTAGTTATTTTTTTTATTAACATGCATACTTCATGGATTCTTTTCGCTTATCTGTCCATTGTCTCCAATATGTAATAAAATTAAACTCCTAATCTACCCATCTTATCTTTGGCTTATAGTTTATATGTGTATAATTTCCAAAACGATCTATATTCTAAAGCTAAAGACATATATGTTCTACGTGCAAAATATAACAGATTAAACCAAAACTTTAGTTTTCTTACTGCATTTGTTAAACTTCAAAGTAAATTTTCTAAACACAGGTCAATAAAAAGCCAACAATTTAGAGAGGTGACCGTAGTATATTATATATATATATATATATATATATATATATATATAATATTATATATATATATATATATATATATATATATATAAATATATATATATATATATATATATATATATATATATATATATATATATATATATATATATATATATATATATATATATATATATATATATGTACGAAGTAACAAGAAGTCAAAAGACCTTATCTGAATGTCTTCTGAAGAACATGTAATTGATGGTACGTAGTCAGTTATTATAATACTGATATTAAGATATATCATATTATATATTGTGTAGTATATTGCAGTAAATATTACTTAAATGGTTGGTGTCTGTCTTATAATTGATAGATTCGGGGGTTTTATTAATGTGTACCATTTCAATGGTACACAATCACAAATGGGATTTAGGAAAGGACTGGGAACAGGAGATGCACTGTTTGCATTAAGTGTTGTTTCGCAAAGATGCTTAGATATTAATCAGGAAGTATATGCCTGTTTCATTGATTTTAAGAAGGCATTTGACAGAGTGCAGCATAATCGACTTAAAGCAATTTTATTAAATAAAAACATAGACAGTAGGGACATTAGAATCATCTGTAACCTTTATTGGAATCAAACAGCAAAAGTGAAAGTTAAAAACGAACTGACCAAGGATATCCAGATTCGTAGTGGGGTCCACCAAGGGTGTATTTTATTGTTATTCAATTTATACAGTGAAGCCATCTTAGAATTAGCGCTTGCCGAGATCAGTGAGGGCCTTATAATAAACGGTGAGCCACTTAATAAAATAAGATATGCTGACGACACCGTCCTTCTGGCAGGAACAGTAAAAGAACTGCAACACCTTGCTGAACAACTAAATATATATTGCAACTATTATGGATTAAAAATCACTTTGAAGAAAACCAAGTTCATGGTATTTACAAAAGCACAAAACATCAAAGTTAAGCTAGTACTAGATAATACAGAAATTAAACAAATATCTTCGTACAAATACCTTGGAGCATGGATCACAGAAGATACTAATCAGACAAAAGAAATAAGATGCCGCATTGAAATTGCGCGGTCAACTTTTAATAGAATGAGAAAACTTTTTTGTAATCGCGATATCAATATATCGCTCCGGATAAGAATGCTTCGATGTTATATTTTCTCTACCCTTTTGTATGGAGTTGAAGCTTGGACACCTAAAAAATCCAACATTAAAAACCTAGAAGCATTCGAAATGTGGTGTTACCGACGTATTTTGAAAACATCATGGATGGATCGCAAAACAAAGGAACAAGTTCTCGAACAACTAGGAAAACAATGCGAAGTTTTAAATTCCATAAAAATCAGGAAACTGGAATACTTGGGGCACATAATGAGGTGAAAAGTACGAACTACTAAGAAATATAATGCAGGGTTATGCTAAAATCAAAGGTAGAAGAAGCGTAGGAAGACGTAAAATCTCGTAAAATCTCGTGGCTACGCAATCTCCGTGAATGGTTTGGATGCAGTTCAATTGAACTATTCAGGCGAGTAACCAATAAAATTATAATTGCCAGAATGATTTCCAATCTCCGATAGGAGTGGAACTTGTAGAAGAAGAAGACCATTTCATTGAAAAGTGGATTTTTATACTTATAAACTATATTATTTTATAATTATCAAGATTTTTACATTATTAAAGTAAAAGTTATGTCCTGTCTTCAAGTGGTGGTCCACTAATGCACAAGAGTTTTTTCGTATGTTACAGTCACTTTTGTGTTGAGAGACACGTTGTTTAAGCCACTGTTGACTTTGTCCAATATAACAACTTTGACATTGACTGCAATTTATTCTGTAAATTATATTACTCATTAATGAATTTGGAATTTTAACTTTTATTTTTGAGAAGAACTTTGAATTTAGAAGTAGATTGTATTTAATTAATTTAATGTTCGGAAATGTTTTGAAAAGTGGGACAATTTGGTCTGTTAAATTTTTTATATAAGGTATTTTTTTAAAACTGGTTGTGGATTATTTATTAAAGATCTGTTGTAAACGCGAGTGTTATAAATAAGTTCTTTTAATATATGTTTTGGGTAGCCATTGTTTAAAAACATTTCAAAAAGTTTCTTTAAATTGACATCTAGGAAACTCCGATCACAAATTGTCGTTACACGATTTTTTATAGATACAATTGTGTTGAATTTTTGATTTCTTAAATGATTAGAATAATAATTTATAAATCTGCCGGATGCAGTATCTTTTTGATATCAATCTTATATGATCCTGTTGTCATTAGTTCTTATAACTTTGGTATTTAAAAAAAAGTATACTATTTTCATTTTCATACTCGACAGTGAATTGAATATTTTGATCGAGTGAATTAAATATCGTTTGTAATGTCTGAATATGGTTAAATGGTACACTGCGTAATACGTCATCAACAAATTTATAAATAAATGCTGGTAAAAACGGCAATTTTGAGATTCCAAGGTCTAATAAATGGTCTAGAATAATTGTTGCTAAAATAGGACTTGTAGGAGTGCCCATTGGTGTTCCAAATATTTGTTTATAGAATTTATCACATAAACAAAAATATGTGCTGTCAAATAAGAATTTTGTTAATGACAGGAAGTTTCTTCTTGATAAGGATGTGAATTGTTCTATTTTAGACCATTTTTCTTGCATGATTTCAATGATTAACTTTACTGGACTGTTAGTAAACAATGACACTACACCTAAAGAGATCAAAACATGCATGCATCTGGTAGCTGAATCCCATTTACAGCATTGACAAAAAAAATGTATCTTTTGTATTGAGACTTGGCTCATTTTTAAATGTTTGTGTAAGTATATTTTTCAAGAATTTAAATAGGTTGTAAGTTGTGGATTTTATAGTACTACCAATTTAACGTAATGGTATATTCGCTTTATGTATTTTTGGTAGGCCATATTATTTGGGTATGTCAGAATTGTAAATTTTTAGTTCTTTAGCTTGTTGTTCTGTGAGCTTATTTTCGTTCTTTAAAGTTCTTATTAATTTATTAGATGTAGTCTGGAGCGGAGGTGGTCGGATCATTGTTAAGTTGGGTGTATGTTGTATTATCTTGTTAAAGAGTATCATATATATATATATATATATATATATATATATATATATATATATATATATATATATAATAATAATGTTTATTTACTTCTCAATATACAATATAAAACAATGTTACAATATGTTAGTTTTATATAATACAATTACAAATTCAAAGTTAAATATTTTGTATAAACAAATAGTTGTTAGCAAATAAACAAAGATGAACTTTCCTGATGAACCAGAGGTTGTGCTCAGGGATTACACTCATTTACACTATTCAATATTTGTTCTACAGTATCATTAGGTTGATAATATATAATATTGTTACAAATATATATATATATATATATATATATATATATATATATATATAGTATATATATATATATATATATATATATCATGTAATGAGAACAGAAATACAATAAATTAATAAAGAAATATATTTATTTCAGACATGTGTATATACAACCAGATATACACAGTTAATTAATAAATTTATTTAAATAGGACATAATTTATAAATTATATACTGGATAATATTATTAAAAAATAATTATATGAGGGTATTTTTAAGAATTTAGCATAAGAATTAAGTTTAAGAAGTTTTTTTTAATTTTATTTAATATTAGATATGTTTAAATCAGCCATACACTGTAGTGTCAAAGTCAAAAAGTTATTTATTATATGGAATTTTAATTTAAAATAAAATTACATATGTAAACTAGTAAAAATATGTTTCATATAAATGTTTAAGTTACATATAATAGTGTAATTCTGATCTGAACAGCCTAAAGTCAAGTAAATTGTACATGTAGACCAGATAAAATTCTAGAAATGTCAATAGGACTATTTGCATAATACATCATAGACAAAACCATTCCATTTATTCCAGAATGTTCAGATAGAAAAACTAGAATGATTTGAACCTTATTTATTGCTAGATTATTCTGGAACCAAGAAAAGTATATATAAACCATGTAATTTGGAGCGGGAGTTCAGTTAGTTGCAGATTATGATTAGTTACAGTTAATTAATCAGTTAGAAGAAATTAAATCAGTTCATCAATCAGTTAGAGTCAATCAGTTGATCAATTAAGTGAGTTAGTTAGTAAAGTTAGAATTCAAGACTTTAGTTACAAGAAGTTACAGTCAATTATTAAGTGAATTAGTTTGAAGAATTTAATAATTCAATGATTATTAAGTCAGTTACATGTGATTATTAATTACAAAGAAGAGTTAACAGGAATTTATGAGGTTATGAAGAGATTATTAGCTAGAAGAAGGCATTGATTAAGTTA